TGACATGATGCAACCTGAGTAAACCATACACCAAAGGATGAATAAAAGTCAACTACGGAAAAGTTCGGATGAGTTAGCTCATCACGTAACATGGCCAGTTTGAAAACGTGTCTGAATAAGACGAAGAAAGAAGAAAAGTTTGGAATTCTGAATAAGAGAGAGAAAACTACTATGTATAAGAAGGGGAAGAAAAATTGGTCGAATAATTCTGTTTTAAAATATCTGTAAAGATCGGAAATTAAACACTGAAATGGTGCCCGTTTCAACCGTGAGATTGATACAAGTTTGACGATTTTAAGATCTGTGTGTGAAGAATATCCTTTATTGAAACAAATGCTTTTTTTTTCTTTAAAAAATTAACTCTAAGTTTGTTGGTGAAACATCTGTTAAAAGTAAAGTCAAGAAATTCTGTATGATTTTTATATAATAAATGGAGGTAAAAGATGTAACACATACATGGTCATCGGAATTTCAATTGGAGGTGAAATACGTGAAGTGTTTCAAGAGCCACATCATTAAGAAGATATGAAATATTGGTGTGAAGTAAGAAAGAAAACATAATTTACAAATAAGATATAGAGAGGAGTGTAAAACCTTGGGGTATTTCGCTTGAAAGGACATCTCAGTGGAAGATGAAGAGAAAAAACAGGTAAAAAACGTCTTTGTCAAGGGGAAGAGAATATACGGGTGAAAACACCTGAGTGGAAGAGAAAAAAAAATAGAAGTTTAGAATTACGTGAATGGAAGGGGGAGAAATTAAACAGTTGAGGGACATCTGATAGAGGGGGGAAAAAGAGTAGACAGATGAGGAACACTTACTGGAAGGGAAAAGTGTAAATGAGTACTTGTTAGAGGAGATACCTGAAGTTAAAGAAGAAGTAAACAGCATTACTCAACTTACGAGAAAAAAAAAGCATTATTTGAAATGATATTATTTTATGAAACATAAAAGAAGTGATCATTCATAATTTTTCTATCAATTTATTTACAGAAATAAAAAGAAACTGATTGGACAGTAACTTGAAGTAAAATAATTTGGTTTATATTCTTTCTTTATAAAAATGATAAAAGAATGTTTTTAATATAAGGTTTAAACTATATTGTTCATGATTATTAAGGGACGGTTCTTATATTTCCTAATAAAAGAGGCAAGAAACTCACAAAAATAGCTGAATTAATGAAATAAATAAATAGATGTTGGAAAACATATTGACTTTAATTGAAATACATAGCCCCTCCATGTATGATTATGAATTCTAAACAAATTAAATATACATAACTGTTTTAGTTTAAGCGAGTGTTATGATTTAAATAGTTTAAGTATAGCACTTTGTAGAAGCGGTAGTTTATCACAGGATTGTATACTAACTGTTCTCGAATCACACGTTGTGTAGTTCAATTATTGTGAAATTGCGATTGTTTTATTATTGCGTCATATTATTAGAACATTCTAACTTGTTCTCGTTGTTTTAATTGAGTATTATTGTATCATAATATCTTGTAGTGTGTGGAATATTCTAGGTCTCGGTCGGGCTATAAATACACGTCAGAAATGTAGTTTTGCTTAGTTAGTTAGATAGAGAAAGACTATGTGATTGTGAGCTTAGCCATAAAGAGCGTATAGTGGCGATTTTTAAAGCGAAATTATCATAGATTGTATGGTAAAAAGACAGTAGAAAAGAATAATTTGTCTTGTCAAATTGTGTTCTAAAGTAACTGAACCAACTTGTGTGAACTTTGACGAAAAAAAGAGACAATTATTTAAAATTCTGGATACAACTGTGGTAACCAACAGTTATAGTAGGGATTTTAGAGTGAAATTATCACAGATCGTATTGTAATAACAGAAGAGAAGAAGAATTTCTGTTGTCAAATCGTGTTCCAAAGTAACTGGAATCTGACGAAAAAGAGACAATTATTGAAAGCTCTGGATACAACTGTGATAACCAACAGTGTAATAACATTTGTACATATGTTTGACTTGCTTTAATATGTATTATTTTAAAAACAAGAGTGTTATGTTGCTGTTTGTTTATCGTTGAACTTTACTGTCAATAAGTTACAAACATCTACTATAAAGAATCCAGCACATACATGAAACTGATAACAAGATTATAAATTTATTTATCCCACCCAGGTATATTGTTGCTCTATGGAAGTAATAATTTTTGATTCACTAGAACCATTAAAACTTTTATTTTTTTCAGAAATCACAATGTCACGATTTTCATGGATGGATGACAAATTTATTGGAAGGAAAGGATTCTCTTTTTTGATCAATTTTTACGTTCATCACGAGGCTTAGAATAAATTATAAAGCATTTATTACCTTAAATAAAATTCAGAAGTTTTAATCTCTCCCTGTTTTTGAGGCATAACGTTTGGAAAGTCACATTTTAAGAAAAAATTAAAGTAAAATTTTGTTGTGAAAATGAAATTCAAAATCAGATCTCTCATTTAAAATATATTAGAAATGCAAATTTTGAATGTGATATAGCAGTGGGAATTTTTCTAGATAAATACAAAGAATTAATTCATCCTAGGATTAATAAAGGTTTTATCTTAAAAGGTTTAGATATGGTCTTAAGAATATTTTTGTTACTTCAAATTGCTCGTACAGGAATGGGCACAAAAGTTGCTCCAAATTATGCTAATATCACTATGGAGTTTTTCGAATTATAGTTATTTAATATACTATCTAATTATTTTGGAGAAAATTTTGTTGTTCACTTAAAGGCATTTTGGAAAAGATTTTTAGACGACTATTTTGTAATACGGAAATATACTCAAGATATTAATATGTTTTTTGGCATTTTAAATTCAGTGAAAAGGAAATTAAATTTACCTTTGAAAGAAATAATAAAGCCATGTCCTTTTTACATGTGTTGGTGTTTTACCAGAAAAGAAAATTGTAACTGACATTTTTATAAACCTACAAACTCACTTCAATATGTATGCTTTTTGTGTAATCAACCTAAACATAAAACATTAAATGTTCCTGCAAACCTTTCAGAAATATTATATCGTTTGGTTTCAGTGGAAAAAAAAAAAAGAGTTAACAGATTATTAGAACTGAATATATTCTTAGTTCAGTTTCTATCTGGAAAAAGTTATATTCCGTGGTTTTAAAATTGCTAAGAATAACATTTTAATAAAAAAAACATTTAAACAGAGAGGTTAGTGAACAGAGGAGAATGTTATACCTTTGGTAATAACTCATTGTACAAATATACATATCAATATTTCATTTGTTAATACACAATCAAAACAAATAGTAGATAAAAAAATGAAAGATGTATTCAAAGATATAAAATTTGTATACATTATTGAATAAACCTAAAGAAATAGATTTTTATAAAGAAAGTGTTTTCAGTTGTGAAAGAAAAACTGTGTTTATATGTGTTGAATAACTGTTATTATTTTAGGATCTTCTTTTGAATTTTGCAAAAAACTACACGAGGGCTATCCGCGCTAGCCGTTCCTAATTTAGCAGTGATAGACTAGAAGGAAGGCAGATATTTAACAGTACCGACCGCTAACTCTCGGGCTACTCTTTCATCAACGAAGAGTGGGATTGACCATCACATTATTACGCCTCCACGGCTGATAGGGTGAGCATGTTCGGTGACGGAGATTCGAACCCGCCACTTCGTATTGTGAGTCGAGCACCTTAATTACGAGGCCATGACAGGCGTGGGAAAAGAAGTTTATTTTTCCGTACTAGTTTTAAAAACTCTTTAGTCTTTTGGTAATTAATATGAAGAAAAACCGATTTAATTAGATTAGCCCAAGTAGGTTTTGTGAGAAATTAAACTTTTAAAATGATATACCAAAATCCAATTCACGGATTGTTTTCGTGCGATTATTGGAGAACAGAAAAGATGCATTTGGAACATGTATTAGCTGGGGTATACTCTGAAAACAGCACACTTTGGAAGTGAAACAGGGATAAGATTAAATTTGTTGACTGAGGCCCTTAGTTGTTGGTTGTGCTTCGACTCATCGCGGCTTAATGTATCAAAAGAAGATACATGAAAAACTATAAGGTGTGTATTTTTTTATCTTTGGTCCTGATATTTTATTTTATAAACTCTGATACAGGTATTGATCTATGTTTTAAAATTTTTGAGTAGTGTTGTGTTTGATTTTGTTTTATAAACTCAAAAACTTCATTTATATTTAGAGCTCCTAAAGAATAATACTTGTTCAATTTGAGTGATTCGTCATCTAACTGTTCTTTAAGGATAGCATTGTAATGAATCGTGGGTACGGCCTGGCCTAAGAAAAGTGATATATCAATAGATTGATGATGTCAGAAAAATTCGAAGGTTCAAGAAGTCTTAATATAAAACGATTAAAACCCCAAACCCCGAGCTTCGAAAGGTGAACATTTCTCCGTCAGAGGAAAACTGGTAATAGATATATTGTTTTACATACACTGACTTTGTATTTGTGTCAATGCGCCAAAGGTGATACAAACAAACAGATAGCATCCGACCAGCTGGGTTTACTTCCCTCGGTATAGGTTTAGTAAAAGAAAGCGTAAAATAAGTAAAATGACCATATGTTTCAAGCACAACAAGCTAAACAATTTCTCCTCAATTACAGAACACTGAATCCAATATCAGACAGAAAATATACTTCATATAAACAGTTTAAGCATGTTTTTGCCAGGTTTAGTTAGTTTGTTTGTAGTTAATCACAAAGCTACAAATGGGCTATCTGTGCTCTGCGCGGTTTATAGCGCTGTAAGTCCGCAGACATACAGCTGTGCCACTGGGGTGCTTCTTGCCAGGAATATTTAATGTATATATATAAAATATATTAAATCTTGTTTCTTCTTCATTTGTATTAAACAGCCTTAACTTAATTTTTAGGTGTTTTATACTATGGCCTATTTGCTTTAATATTTTTTTTCAACTTTATCATTAGAAAAAGGTGCAAGTTAGCGTAATAAAAGAGAAACTGAAGAGCTTTGAATAATAATAATCTAGACTTACCTATAGAAAAGATTAAGAAGATCAACAAACAGATAGACGTATTTTTCTTTCTCTACTATTTTAGCGAAAGTTTCTAGGATTGGCGTTCCCTTTCCATCTACTCGTGGTCAATAACGACTGCTGAACTTCTGTTATTATTTATACCTTTGTCCTTTTGTAATTCGTAGCGTCCTCAAGCGGAGGTAAGGTTAACTATTTATCGCAAATGTGTAAGTGTAACGATTATATATCTGTACATAATATCTCCGGGGTTTCTGAGCGATCATGACTCAGGAAGCATGTATTTAATGTTTTAGGAAGTACATAGCGAAAATTTATATTCATCATCAGTGCGCAATGCTTTGGCGCATTTAATCATTTCATAACTTTTAGTATGTTATTTAGTTTCACTTTGTAACATATAACGTAGTTTGCGTATCCTAATAATGTTAATATGGTATATCTAACGGTAATGAAAGCGCTAAATAAGATACATTAGTCAATTATGCCATTCATTATTTTGTATTGTTACTAATACTATACTTATTATACATATAGCTTTTCTCTTTTATCCTCATTCCATAATAAAATTTAAGTTTGAATTATCTTTATACTTTAGGTATGGAGTAACTGTTAATTCAATTTATGGAACTGATAAATTGTAAAGGGCGCTTTCCTTGTATCTTAGTCCCCTTTGTTTCTCAGTGATAAGCTTGAGGGCTTATAGCACTAAAATGTATAAAATTAGTAACAAATAAACAAACCCAACATCTTTAGCATTTTGAGAATTTTGATTTTCACTTTGTTTACGTGGTGCATGTTGAAACTGAAAATTGGATGAATTATTTTTTTTCACAACATATGAAAGTTTCCAATTCCCAATGTCACGTGTTTATCATATAGTACTTTTCAATTATGTTTACTTATCGTATGAAATACAGGGGTCCTTCGAAGATATGCATTTTAATCTTTAGCTTTATGTTTCTTTCGTTTTGAGTTTCATGATATACATCCTTCAAATTTGGGGTGTTCATCATGAACCATGATAGTGTTTTATAATAGAGTTCACCCAGAAATTTCACAAAAATTGTAATAGAATATATGGGCAAAAACCATCTTAAAAACCAGACTTGTTCTTGAAACATAACTCAAGACCTTCTTTTTTAATGGCTGAGGCTGCTAAAATACTGATAATAACAAAAAAGTTGATTTTCCGATCGTTACACAAAATTCATCCATTTGTTCTCCATATTATTATTATCCTTATTTCACAAGCCTACAGAAAAACGGATATGAATATTCTACTCAAACTTGGGCAAACTACTAAAAAATTCCTGCGCAAATCATAGGACTATTTTTTATCTTGATTTGTCAAAGATACGGGGAGATTTTCTCAGTTTTTACGTCCCTACTGACCAAGTTTCTCTTTGACGCCGTTCAAGCATCAAACTTATAGCACAAACGGCTAGGTATACTGCGCCAAAATCTATGCACAGCTGCTAAACAAACTCTTGCATGATGGTATGTAAAATAAAATACGCCTTCTAGCTAACTAATGAATTAATATTTGCTGCAAAATTCTTATCAATGCTATAAGTTTAGCTACCAGCTTGGCCGCCAATTTTGATTTAATTCATTTAAGTCGCACCCTCAATCCTTTTTTTTTTCTACACTTGGTATTTTTTATTAGATATTATGACTTTTTGTCAATACACATCAACAAACCACACCAAATAAAAAAAAAAAGTGACACTCGATAGTAACCCACATTAGGCTTAGGATTGCAACCCTATTATTCGTAACAGACCTTTACTTTACAGAACCAACCAGATTCTTTAAAATATATAGTGGTCGTTTTCCTCTCTAAAATAGTGTTAATAGCTTTAATTATACTAACTCCATGGAATTTAGATTAACAGTTTATTGTTATCACCCCTATGCAATCGGTACAGCCGTATCAAGTATCATTATTTATGCTAATTGCTTAAGCTAATATCACGTGACGTTAAACGCTCCTTAATTAGGATGATTTCACAAAAGTTAATAAATTTGTGCTGAAATGCTGGCAATCAGTAATCAATAATAACTGTCCACCCGTATGATTCTTTTGAAAATTTGAGCTAGAAACTGCTAATTTAGTTTGCTTGGCCTAATCAATACTTTTGTATCTGCACGTCCTTTCACTTTATAGTTTTGCTGCTCTAAGTCAGTCGTCTTTAATCCGAATAACAAAAACTAAAAACGGTTCACTTTTACTCTTAGGTGAAGCTGTAGTAAAAATGTTACACTGATAGCGTAGGCGTGCGCAAAATATTTCGTTTAATTTGAGCGGTTTTTGTTATATTTCCACCAAATGAGACTCCTAATTGTAGGTTATAAAGATCTATCAGTGTACCAAATTTAAAAAAAAACATAAAAGTTAAGTATGTTTTTCTATTAAGTAAAGTATCCGTACCTTTGGTGCAAAGAAAAAAAGGAAGAAACTCAATCAAAATTGGAGATGTGTTATCTCAGGTATTTCTTAATGGAACGTTCTTAAATTTGGTACTTAACTAAGTGTCCAGTAGAGCACATCCACTGTAAATATGTGATAGTTTGGATTACTATAGTCCAAGCTACAGAAGGTGGAAAATTTCTAAACTATCGCTCCTGTTAATAACACACAGTGTGTCCTGCAGGTTGGCCGCACGACACACTACCGTGTGTCTTGATGAAATGCTACGGATATCCATATCCTATTTAAAAAGTTGATTATTTTTCATTGAAAGTTGATTTACGTGGCTATAAATATATAATACATCCAATATTGTTGTGAGCGGCTTTCTTTTTACTCGACGCTTGTTTACACGAAGCCTCAGCTCACTAGATAATGGTTGGGTGGAAAAAAGCCAATGCAGCAATAAACTGTTGAAAAACATGTAATATTCAGTGGAATGCATACGCACACAAGTTGTTTAAAATTTATTCTCCATAAATGGGCATAAAAAACTTAAGAAACAAGATAATTAAAAATTGTTAATTTAAAAAGGGAGCATTTTGCAATGATTACGCTGCGGGGATATTATCAGGATGCATGGTCGTCAGATGAATATGACTGGACATGGAAACATGAAGTGTAAAGACTTGAGGAAGGACCAAAATAATTTTCATACAACGTACTCAACCTCTGTGTTTACTGGTATTTGATATTTGCACTTTGAAAGGAACCTTATGCGATATATGAACTAATTTACCATGTCATAAACCTATAAAGTTAAGATATAGCCATCCTTAGTTTAGAGTTGCTGACAAGAAGCTGGGTAACTAGTTTGCAGCACCCGTCGCCCCTATACTACTATCTTACCGGAATAGCAGAATTGACTGTCACAGTTATAGGGCTCACATAATTTCAATTTAAAAAGTATTTAGCATCGAATAGTGGCAAAAATCTTGGACCTTCGATCCACAGCCCAACACACAAACCACTAGGCCAAGTCCAGTACATATTATAACTAATATTACACAGACATGCATTTTTCTACTCTTCCTTGGAGTACATGCTTATATCCTATAATGTTTATAATTTCTGATTACTAAAACAAAATTATTTTAAACACGAAACAATTATTTGGACTAAATTAAGTAAAAAAAATAGAGCTGTTGAAATACCACCTACTTTGAATTATAATCTAAATTTGTGAACTTCAGAACAGCTCTACCTGTGAGATTTGTAAAAAATAAATCATTATTTAAGTGGGGAAGCATACCATATTCTACATTTATTTAAGCCAGAAACTCAGTTGTATAATTATATTATTTTCAGATGTCACCCATCTTATGCGATCTTCGAGGATTAGTCAAAAGCAATTTTGAGAATATTCCAAGGTACCCTGTAAATTTAAAACCGACGCAAAAAAGTTTGTACCAAATTGTACATAATAAACTTATTTGAGTGAATATATTTGTTTCTCTTTTTAGATTATGTAGCGTGTGGTGGAGTATCTTGGACATTTTTGTGCAAATAAAGTACCTTTTGTGTCAGATAAGAAAATATTTATTTTGTTTACAGTAGTGCGTTTTGGTTTTTCATCAAAGGCTGCAGCTATTGGCGAGGCTTAACAATGATATTCTAGAGTTCGTCTCCCATTGGAATATCTTTATTACTCAATCTAAGGCTCCCGTAAAGTACATATTTTCTTGATCACCTCCCCTTGTATAGACGCAAATAACTTTAATTTATGTTGAAGAGATTTTCTTTGTGTATAGACTTCCCTTGCAAAAACGTTAATATATGTTTGTTCTAAGAGTAGTAATTCTCAACCATTATCACTCTACGGGCCAGCAAAATCTTTGTAAAACGCTATGGACTTTAGGAGTATAAAAGCCTATAATGTTATTTCTTAATTTAACTTCTTCAAGAGTCTTTGAAGTGAAGGTTAGGAGGCTCACTTGTTTTATAATAAACTAAAAGAAAATAACATTTTTCACTGATTCCTTATAATTAAATTCCACGGACAGCAAATTCTTTATAAGACCTTTTTCTTTCTTTCTTTTATCCTTTTCATTTTTTCACTCAGGATGTTTCTGCGAACCAGCAAAAAAATATTAACTGACCAACTGGTTGGAACACTGTAGAATAATCTAAACAACTGTCTTTTTCCAGAGACTTCACGACTTTAGTATATATATATATATTATGATACTGTCACCATGTATCAAATTTAAAAGCTTTGGTAAGTATTTCAATGCCTTTTTCTATTTAGTACTGAAAAATATTTCTCTTTATCGATTTAATTAACATATCTGTAATGTGTTTCAAAGCCAATAAGGAACACTCAGTATATCAGGATCATTCAGTTCACTGACCCTGGGTGAAAAAAAAAGAGATAAAACGTAGCACAAAGATTGAAATTTGATGCTTTTGGACTGCGTATTGAAAGCTTCAGGGTTCGAGATGTGGTGCCGCTATACAGCGTATACACGCTTCACACGTTCAGTTGTGGGTGTACTATAAAAGTTACAGTCAATACCGATATTTAGTTCAAAGAACAATGAAAAGCCCTTGTGGTGATGAATGCTTCTGGTTACCTGCCCCTCCCCCTTTGATCAGAGTTCAAAAGTACGCGA